ATTGTATATTTTCTCTCAAATTTGGAATTTAGACATGGGTGTAAAAGGTGGACTGTTTGAGGGGAACTAGTGGGAAGAACGAGGGTGAATTGAGGGGGCTGTGGTGGCTGAATATGATCAAAGCATGTCATATGCGTGTATGGAAGTGTCACAATGAAATCCCTCAGCACAATTAATATATGCTCGTAAAAACAAAAACTTCTTCCTACAAAACAATTGTTTTCGTGTCTATGTTTGTCATACCTGATTAAAACAAATCCCAGTTGCCATTGAAACAAATAAAAATATGAGCAGAAACCAATGAAATTGTGAACAAACAGTAAAGAAAATTAACAATGTCAAAGTTGGCTCTTGGAAAAGGCAAACAAAATTGGGATGTGTCTAGCTATAATGATTAAGGACAAAGAGCACATAAATCATTAATATCTGGAATAAAATGGAGCTATTACTACAGACCCTACAGATATTAAGCATATAAGAAAATAATATTATTTTTGCCAATAAATTTGAAAACATGGATAAAGTGGAAAAAATTCTCGTAAACAATAATTTATCATAACTAAGATAAAACAGTTTATCATGAGATGAAATAAAATATCAAATTACATACATATTTCTTTAATTAGAGATAATTTCAAGCACAGAAAAGCTGCAAAAGGAGCACAGAGTGCCCTTATACCTTCATCCAGTTCCCCCTTTTATTTAGTGTCTATTCAGAACCAGTTTGAGGCACTCACCTATAATCCCAGCTACTCAGAAGACAGAGGTATTAGGGTCAAGGTCTGAAACCAGTTCAGGGAAAAGTGCTAGACCCAATCTAAAACCAAACTAAAGCAAAGAGGGCTAAGGGCATAGCTCAAGAGGTAGACTACTTGCCTAATAAGCATGAGGCCCTGAGTTCAAACCCCAGTACCACTGGGGACAGGAAACATGTTTGTTTGACCTGGACATAGTGATATGTGTCTGTAATCCCAACTACTCAGGAGGACCACTTGAGGCCAGGGGTTCAAAACCAGCCTGAGACACATAGGGAGACCTGTCTCAAAAACAAAAAACCTTCAGTTATATGTTGGGTATCTTACTCAAGTATTCTAAACTTCGGTTTTCCAAGCTGTCAAATGGAGTAATAATGGGAGCCATTTCACTAGGCTGTCATGAGGACTAATGAGAACGCATGTGAAGCGTTCAGAGGAGGGCTTGGCCTATGACAGGTGCTCAAGTAATGTCGATTCCCAAACTGTGCAGTCCTTGCATGAAGGGCCACCAGTCAATGTAGAAAGTGCCCTTTTAACTGAGTACACACTTTATGCAACAACAACTCTAAAAAGTGTTTTAATTCTCATTGTATAAATGAGGAACAGGACTGCAAAGAGTAGGAGAGCTGCAAGTCACATGGGGATCAAAGTTTGGCCTCGATGTGTCTGACTTCAAGGACAGCCACCACTTTGCCCCTTCCAGAGGGGTTTGGAATTCGATGTGGAATGGTATGTGGTTTCTGTGTTGGGCAGATATTAGTTGATATTTGGTCTTTAATTACTGCACAGTGAAATCTGTTTTTCTACAGTCTTCATCTTATTGGAAACCGTTTTCCAGGGAGCAGTTTCTTCTGATTGTCCTGACATCATACATAAGCAGTCTCTTCAATGTTCAATCAAGGGCTGCATAGTTTTGTTGGCTAAGGCTCCAAGTGATAATGTGAAACTGTAATGTAGTGCCTGGCACAGAGCCATGCCTTCAGTTGGCACTCCATAAATATTTGTGTAATGAATGAACTGGATGAAGTCACTGCTCTCCTGCTGAACGATTCCCCTGCTCTGTTCCTGTTCTATTATCCTGGGTGAGGTCAACATGCTGGCCTTTGTTCCTGAGACCCTCTGTAGGTGCCTCTTGGGGGCAGATGGCCTTTGGAGGCAGTTAGATGCAGCCTATAGAGTGAAGCAGCTGTGAATGAACTGACAACAAGATTGGGCCAGAGATGAATGAACCAGATGCCCATGAACCGAAAGGGTAAGCATTGAGTGTGGGGTACCACGAGGGACCCAGAGGGCCCCACTGGACAGCTCTGAGTGACTTCCTCTGACTGGATACTGCTGCTGCTTGGATCTTCAGCACAGATTTCTACAAGTCTTTCCCTCTTGCTTTGCATTTCCACATTACATGGAGAATAGGAGTATATCAGAGCACCAATCCCTCCCAAAACCTTCAAAATTATGTTTAATTTAGGTGTGATGACTCCCCACCAAACCAATCTCCTAGTGCTCCAGAATGTTCCCTTGAAAACTAGAGGGGAAATAGGAGGAAATAGGAGAGCCGATATGCCCATTTGATTAGGACAAAGGTGAAATTTTCAATCCCTAAATATAGAGCCCTTAGCTTTTCTTCATGGGTCAACTGCTTTGAGACAGCTTTGGCAGTGGAGGGTCTGCTTCAGTTAATGCAGATGCAGGGTAGTTGAGGACAGAGAGAAGGGATCAAATCTTGGCTAATTCAGACCAGATACCAGAGCACTAAGCAGAGGCAGCCATGGGGCATAGGGCAAGGGTAACAAATGGAAATTCATAAATAAGAACAACAACAAAAATCCCTGCTGAAACAATGAAAAGAAGTAAAAAAGAAAAGAAAAAGGAAGGGAGGGAGGGAGAAAGGTAGGAAGGAAGGAAAGAAAACCCCATACTCATGTAAATAAAATTCCTGAACTCCTATGACTGTGGATGCAATGTAAGTAGCTTGGTATCCTAAAAGTGAAAAGGGAGACAAAGTCAAAGGTGATTTACCCTAACACAGCACTACTTTGGGAAGGGAGCTTACAGCCCTCAATTTGCATATCTTGGGCAATCAATTGTGCCTTCCTCTGTGAAATCAAGAGTCTCTTGCAGTTTTGTGACTCTGAGGAAAGGGCAAGAGGGGAGAAAAGAAGGCTTGCTCACATCTGCTCAATGTCTGGTTCCCAGCCTGCAGCCAGAATGGGGATGAGAGCACTTAGCCTTCCAGAAGTGCTTGCCACGTAATCACAAGTGGGATAAATCGCAAACTAAACAGCCACACCTACCAGAATGAAACCTTTCATTCACAGGGGCTGAGCACAGAATGCAGCTGGCTTTTTGGCATAGATAACAAATGTAGGAAATGGAGGAAGAAAACCATCATCTCAGGCCAGGTGTGGTGGTACACAGCTGTAATCATAGCACTTGGGAGGCTGAGGCAGAAAGATAGAGAGTTCGAGACCAGCCTGGGCTACATAGCCAGAACGTATCTCAAAAACAACAACAAAACAACATCAAAAAGAAAAGAAAACCACCATCCATTGGTGTCCCATCCTCTCTACCTGGGACAGAAAAAAAGCAGTATTCTAACCAGGTCTTTCTTCAAGACATTCAATTAGGAACACAAAACGAAAGGACATGGGTCCTGTTCTGCTTGCTCAGGCAGGGAGCAGGAGAGAGATCAGTGAGATTGCCTGGGTATCCAATGCCTGGGTGCCCAGCCTGCAATGTCCCATGCTTTCCAGGGGCCTGGTTATGATCCAAATGTTTGCGGCTCCTGTTCCAGAAAACCTAACCACAATGTGATAATATTAGGAGGCGTGGCCTCTGGGAGATGATTTGGTACTGAAGGCTCCTCCTTCCTGAACAGGGTTAGTATAGTGTTTTATAAAAGATGCTGCACAGAGCTCATCTATCTGTCTGTTCCACCAGCATGAAAAAAGAAAGTGCCATTCATGCACCAAGAAGAAGCCCTCACCAGACACAAAATCTGCAGGTGCCTTATCTTGGACTTCCAACCTCCAAACTGTGAGGAATACATTTCTGATGTTTATAAGCTTCCTGGTCTATGGTATTTTATTATAGCAGCACAAGCAGGCCAAGTTGGAGGACTCCAACTTTCCTTTCCTGCTCCCAATTGAAAAGCAACTCCTGTTCCGGGGGCTAAGCCCCATTCCTCCCACTATGAGCAAGATCTGCTAAGTGAAATGTAGAGGAGGAAAAACAGATTTGGGGCTTGAATGGAGTTGACGCGTCCCATAACATATGTCACGTTGACTTCAGAAAACCTTTCAGTAAGAGGTAAATCACGTTTTCCAGGAGGTTAGGCCTTAGACATCTGCTTCTCTCGCAGCCCCTGGGTGCAGGGACTTAACTATGTGTGCCTTCCCAGTGGCATTTCCTAGCAAGTTAGCAAGGTTCTAGAGCCCAGCCTCCATGTAAAACTGATTTTCTTCTTCCCTTTGGGAAATAGAAACTGTAAATTAGGAGGAAGGTACCCCGTGTGTGTGCTCTTAACTTCTCCCTCCCCCAGTAGCGTCATTATTATTTTTTAAAACAGACACTTCAGATAGGGAATTTAGTGTAATTCATGCCAAGCTGATGGTACCTATCTCCTGACCACAGTGGCCCTGTTCCCTGCGTGTCATGGAGGAAGGTACCCTTGTGTGGGCTTTGAAGAAGGACTTGAGTTTGGATCTTCAGCCTGCCACTTGTCACTTAGTGACGCGAGCTTCAGTGGCCCCGACTGGGAAACGAGGACGGTGGGGAGTGGACCAGCCCAGCGTGGGCTCCTGGGTACCAGCACGTACGCGGGGCTCCGGCCGCGCTTCCTTGCCAGGGCCCTGAGGATGCCCGCGCTGGTCCTCGGCGCCGCGCCCGGCCTCCTCGGGGAGCCGCGCGGGTTGGGCGCGCTCCCAGGCGCATTCCTCGCCGGGCAGCCCCTCCTCCCTCGGCCTTGGCCAAGGGGCTGGCGCCTCCCCGCCTCGCTCCGACTGTCTCGTGCGGACGGCTGAGGACGCTGGTGGCCCGGGTGCTCCAGGAAAGAGCGCGTCGCGCACCTGGACCCGACTGCGCCTCCGCTGAGCGGCAGGCCGGGCGCCGATCCCCACCCGCCGCGCTCCGCCGCCTCCCCGCCAGCCAGAGCCGCTCTCCTGCCGCGGGCGCCCCGCACCCTGCAGGGGCGGCTGCGGCATCACTGGGGCAAACTCGGCAGGGAAGACACACAAACTTATTTCCCCTTCCCAAGCAGCAAGGGAAATTGAATTGACAAGATGGTGCCCACCTCTTCGCGCGCGCTCTTCCTTCTCCTGCTGCTCTTCGCCTGCCCCGAGTCGCGGGCTTCCCAGGTCAGTGTCCCCGCAGCTCCCCTGGCCCCTGTCCCGTTCGCAGGGGAGGCAACGTCAAGGCCCGAGGACCTGCCTTGCTACTGTCCACTTGGATTGGGTTGGGGGTTTGGAGCTGGGGTTCAGTTTTTGGAGAGAGGTGTAGGGTCCCCTATGTGTCATCTCAAATGCAGCGGGGCCAGACGTATGGGAGGACCCGGACTAGTGCAGTCCAACAGATTGTGCAAAAGCGCGGGTCCGCCGAGGGAGAGGGCTCCGCGTGACAATCGCCGAGATTTCTGAGACATCGCTCGTTTCTGGGTCTCCATGAGACTTCCTGGCAGCTAGTACATTAGAAAATGTCCCCGTCCCCCATTTCTAGCTGAAAAGTCTCACCATCACCATACGTTAAATACCCACAGAACTTCTTAGAAGCTTGCAGCATTTCCAAGGCAGAGAAGAGGCTGCGAGAATTCTGAGGCGGGCTCTTCACGAGCCCCGGAGGCCTTAGGAGCTGGGACTATGTTTTTTTTTCACACCCATACAGTAGGCTTGTTGTCGTTTTTTCTCTTTTTGCAGCTTGTATTTGCTCAAATCCCACTGCATTTATTTACCTGATCAGATTTGTTTGTACGTTAACCAATAGAAACTGATTTTTAAAATTAAGAATGCAGGTTAAAATGCATCTTATGTAGATTGACCTGGAATTGCCAAGTTCAGAGCCAACATCAGAGCAGTTCTCAGAGTCAGAGGCTCCTCTCTGTAAGGGGCCTGGTCTGTGAACAGCCCACTAGGCACACTAACAATACCACCAGCAGCAGAACTACAAGCAGTGTGCAGGGGCAGTGGCAGGAGCTCCAGCACCTGCTATGTGCCAGGATCCTTGCTAAGCATCTTTCAGGCACTTGATTCTCAGAGCAAATCTGAGGTGGTACTGTCATCAACCCCGCTTTATAGATGAGAGAATTAAGGCCCAGGGAAGTTGTTACTTATATAAGATCACACAGCCAAGAAGGACTGGTATAAATCCAGTCTCTTGTTGGGCTCTATACTCCCTGCCCTGGAGAGTAAATTTCTGGACCGAAAGCGGGCATGCTTTGGGTGACATACAAGCCCTCTTGGTATTCCAAGTGGGGAACATTTGGTTCAGATCAGACCTGGTAATGTTAGTGCTGCAGGTGGTGAGCAGGTATTATAGAAAGTCACTCAGCAGCTGGCAGTGGAGGCCCAGTCTGGGAGCAGGATGAACCCACCCACCACAGCGGTGTTCTGTAGATTACAAAACAAAACAAACCTCCAACTTGAGCTCAGTGCCAGAGCAGAGGAGGTGCATCTCCAAGCAGCTCCCTTGCCCAGTTGTGGAGGGGTGCAGTAGGCAGGATGTGCAAGGAGAGCCTAGATCTGCCATCACCTGGTCTTTGCTGCTCTGACCCTCTGGAATGGGAAGGGCACCTGTCACCTAAGGTTACCCAAGAAACAGGTGAGACCAGCACAGTTGCATGTTCTACAGAGGCAGACATGAGCTCACTTCAGCTCTGTTCCTAGAAGATCTGGATCTAATCCCTGCTTGCCACATCCGGGTTTCTCAAACTCTTCCCTCAACCTTGCTTTCTTTACCTGCAGAGCACCTGCCACAGGTAAAGCAAAAAAAAAAAAAGGGAGCAAAGAGGATTGCCCGCAGATGTTCACTTCAAAGTTCTGGAGAAACTGTCCTTCACCCAGAGTCCTGTGTGGTTGGGGCGGACCCCTTCCTTCCTCTATTCTAGCCCCAGTCTGGGCAAGCCTGAGGTGAACCATAAAGACCTCAGAGCCTCCATGCCTGCTGGCATTCGTGTTGCCCGCCCCTTCTCATCTTCCAGACCTCTGCTCAGATAAGCACCTCTTTGCACATGCCTTCCAGACCCACACTCTAACCAGGTCCCCTCCCTGCTCGTTTTTTCTATTCTGGTCTTCTGAAGGGCTCCGGCATAGGACTGGTCACCATTTGCCAGTGCCGAGCAGTCTCTTTAAGTCCCGATGCTAGCCTCACCTCAGGGATCTTGACTCAGTTGATCTAGGGTGTCTTGGGCATCAGTATGTTTAAATTTGCCCCTGGTGATTCTCCCAGACCCAGGGTGATGCCAACTTTCAGAGTTAAAAGCTGTGGACCAGGGAAGGGCTGAGCTCAGGGGAAGTCATAGTGGATGCAGGATTGGTCAGTCTTGTGAGGACTCATATTACATGGTGTGCCTGGAATTTACCTGATTGTGAGTCGCAGGGCTCTTGAACCCAGCAGTGAGACTGTTGACAAGTGGTAAGAGAATGAACTGTACCCAGGGGCCGTCTCTTGCCATGGGGAAGATGGGATGGAGCTAAGGAAGGGGCACTGAGAAGGAGCTTCCCTCAGCAAGGCCCAGTGGCACAACAACCCCAAGGACTTCTGGGTAGAGGCAGTGAGTGCTCCTCCTTGGGGCAGCAGCCTGTGCTGTCCCTTCCAGTAAATGCACTCTTTTTGTGGTATTAGGGTGACAACCCAAGACAGGTGTGTGTCTATGTGTTATGTATGTGAGTGTGAATCTGTGTGAGAGTGTTTATCATGTGCACATGTTTGTGACAATGTAATGGTGTGATTGTATGTGTTTATCTTTGTGTACTGTGTGTGCATGTGTTTGTGGAAATGTGTCATTGTGTGTGTCAGTTTGTGTGTGTATCTGTGTTACTGCATGTGTCTGTGTGCAATTGTGTGTGTAATGGGTGGGTATGTGTGTGTGCATGTGTCAGTGTACGTGAGTATGTGTCTGTGTTACTGTGCATATGTACTGTGTGGATGCATGATTGTATGTGTGATGGTTGGTGTATATGTATTTGTGTGCATGTCAGTGTGGGGGGGTTTTGAGTTATTGTGTGTGTGTTATGTGCCTGTGGGTGTCTGTAGGATGTGTGCATGTGTTACAGTATGTGTATATATGTGAGTGTCTTTCTGTGGGGCGTGTGCCTATGTCACAGTGTGTGTGTATGTGGTGTCTATTTGTGGGGTGTGTGTGTTTGTGTGTTATAGCATTTTGGAAGCTCCTTTATTTTATTATATTTTTATTTAGTTTTTGGCAGCACTAGGGTTTGAACTCGGGGCCTCATGCTTGCTAGGCAGGTGCTCTTATTGCTTGAACCATTCCACCAGTCCTGGAAGCTCCTTTCTGCAAGATGTGCTGCACGAGTTACAAGGAGGACGTGGAGTTTCCTTTTTCTCCTTTGTTGTGTCCCTGTGTTTCTACTGTGTCTTCTACCAGCACATCTGTCCCAAATCAGTTTGCTGGTGCGTTGTGACCGGTTGATGGAGAGTTGGTGGTGGAGTAGAGTGGGGACTCCTGAAGACAAACTGATGCACTGGAGAGATGAAAAGGAAGGTTTAAGACCCACAGAGGCCCTGGAGGAGCAGCAAATGCCACCTCTCAGCCTGCACCTCACCCCTGGGGTGGAGTTGTGTGATGTGTCAGAGCTCCCCCTCCCCAAAGCCTCTCCCTGTCACCAGATGTCTCAGTGTTCCAAATTCCACCATTATGGATTTAATTTTTGATATGTTCCTTTTTACAGCTTGATAAAAACAATTGACTTGGTGTACATTTCCATGATTTTCGCCATAGAACTGTATTCTGTATGTGGCAACCTCCATCCTACCATCAGTGTCCAGAACAATTCCACCCCCTCAGGCTACACTTTGTGAAGTGGCGCCACACCAGCCGCAGGAACGCGGATCTAATCCACTTCACCATTGTAATGTTTTCTCCACAATGTTGCATCGACGGAGCCAAAGAGCGCACAGCCTTTTGAGTTTGGCTTTTTAAACTTAGCATAATGATCTAAACATCACTCAGGTTCTAGGTATCACTGAATACTGCAGGGATGAACACAGCCAGGATGCCAGTTGCAGTTTGGTGCGATCATGAGTAGAACTGCTCTAAACCTTTGCATGCAGCTGTGTGTGTGAACATAATTTTTCATCTCTCTGAGTGACTTACCTAGGAGTGGGACTGCCAGGTCATCACATATGGATGTTTCGTTTTCTAAGAAACCAGCCACTAAACTGTAGATCATCTTAGATATGTCATTTTAGAGTCCCACCAGCTACCTTGGAAAGATCTAGTTGCTCTGCTTCCTTGTTGGTACTTGACATTACAAGGTTTGTTTTTTCCTAATCATTCTAATAGGTATGTAGTGAAATTGCGTTATGGTTTTAACTTCCATTTCCTTGATGACTAATAACGGGACCCATTTTCCTGTGCCTTTGCTATATGAACAGTTGATTGACATGCCGTTCAAGTCTTCTGTTTTGCTTTGGTATTTTCTCCATGGGCCCAAGTGATCCTCTCATCTCAGTCTCCTGAATAGCTTGTGAGGCACAAGCCACTGGGTTTTTAAAATGGATGTCCCATTTTTAAAATGGATTGTTTTCCTGTTACTAAGTTTTGAGTATTCTTTTATATAGTAACACAAGACCCTTTTTGAATTTATGAATTCAAATATTTTCTCCCAGTCTGTGCTTCTTTTAATAATGTCTTTTGTAGGACAAAGCTTTTAAAGTTTAACAAAGTCCTACTTATTATTTTCAAATTTTTATCAATCAAGTTTTGGTGGTCAAATCTAAGAACTCTTGGCCTGACCCCAGATCTTCTCATATTTTTATACCTTTGCATTTTTGCTATGATCCATTTTGAGTTACTTTCTTAAAAAACACGGTGTAGGGTTTATGTTGAAGACCATTTTTTGCATATGGATATTCAATGGCTCAAACTCTAGTTGTGGAAAAATTGCTAAATTGCCATTGAATTGTCTTAGCCTCTTTGTCAGAAGTCAAGCCATCATATGTGTACGGGATTATTTCTGCCAATAATGCACTACCTTGTTTACTGTAAATTGAGAAAGTGACTGCCAGGTCATCACATATGGATGTGATTGTTTTGGCTATTCTAGTTTCTCTGTTCAAACATTAAACTTTTGGAATCAGCACATCTGTATGTACAAAAATCCTACTGAAGTTTTGATTGGCA